TGCGGCTTGACAAAAGCCATCCTGTATAGCTCGTTGGGTCAGAGAGGTGCACAAGCCATCACACCACGTCAAGGTGCAGTNGGTTGTCTGTGAAGCGTCGAGTATATGCTGCAGCAGTTAGACCACTGCTGCTTTACGGTGCAGAGACATGTCCACTACGGGAACAGGATACAAACAGATCGTAGGTGTTTGAACACCGTTGTGCATGTCGTATTGCGTGAGTCTGGTGGGGAAAAGGGGCGAGCAATGCTGAGGTTAGGCGTAGAGTTTTAGGTAATCGCGGTCGTCCACTGGAGNTTCACATATTACGCCGCTTGGGACATGTGTTACGCAAGTCACCCGATAGGTTGCCACGGCGAGCGATGTTTGCCGAGGCAGGTAGTGATTGGAAAAAGATCAAGGGCGGTCAAACCAAGACCCGGCATGAGGGTATGAAAACCCTGACCAGGAGACATAGGTTCCGTAAGGCTCCCTGGCTGGGGACCCCGAGATGATGCTCACCAATGGTTAGAGATACAGTGATATGGTTGGGTGGCGCTCATGCATCTACTCTTTATTCCTGTAACATCAGTCTATATAAATTTGTTATCTTCCGCTTGAGTTTGCTCTCAACATTCTATTCTTCATCCTGCTGCTTTATCCAAATGGGCAACCAAAAGACAGCAACCAAAACCGGCGCACGAAAGTGCGTGGTTAATGGTTGTAAGAGCTGAATTGAACTGAACTTATATCATCGCTTCAGCTGTAGTGAGCAAATAAATCTACTGGATAAAACACATTATCAAAAATGCATGAACCGCTGGAGGAAAACATACTACAACTCACCGCACACACCATTTCAGAACCAGTTGAAGAATCTTGAAAACGATTCTGGTTCACGTAGATGGGCATCTGGGGTTGAAATCCCCCTGGGACTGATACAGAATCCACTAGTGAACCAGGATCCCGATCGGTAACAGGTGAACCACTGCCAAGATAGGGTGGATCGTCTGAAGAGACATCCAAATCGCTCTCATCATACTGTTCATCCACTGGCATAGTGTCTGTGCCCCGATCCCGGGTCGCAGAATCTGCCTGTGTCGCAGCTCGAGCCCCACCAGACTCACGTTGGGTTACCCACTAGGAATGAACGGGATGAACAATGCAGAGACACAGATGAAATCATGTCAGAAAATATACATATAATTATTAACATACATCATCGGATGATCACATACTATCATACAATCGATATACTCCGCAGCTCGAGTAAAATGGAAACACTAATTCACGAGTAAAAACATGTTCACTCACACGGAATGAGGAACAAAGACGCTTCACACCACACACCCATCCCAAATCCAGATCTAGGAAAACGAAATTGACATATCATCCGATATTCCTTTCTATTGCATATTGTGTCCCATAGACCTATCATTGAATTCCATTTAACAATGCATGTTGACTAAGGTTGTGCCTATACGTCGACGTTATTCTCGTTAACGATAGAAACAGAATATTACAGTTACAGAATATTACAGCTGTTTACGATGACAGGCATGCATGCGTAAAACATGACCTAGCTATCGAAGGTGTAGAGCGATTTCTTCTGTCTAGGATCGAGTATCAGCACCCAACCGAAGACGACGAACCTGGTCACTACTCACCCGGTGTTCCAACCAGGCACGATTAATGCTTAAGCGGTCGAATAAACGAAGCTGATCAAGTGTTGCAAGTAAGTTAAACACATTTGAGCTTTCACAATTCGTGATGTAATCTCTTTTCCTATGCCACCTCCACAAATAATCATGGTCCCGAAGTAGCTGAAGCTTTCAAATGGCTCTAGCTGCTTACTACAAACATGAGGCTTTGGACACAACGATCGTCCGGCAGCCTGTTGGGCTGTATATGCATTGTCACTCAGTAGGATCATGTGAACAGCATTTTTTAAACTCAAAACGCTGTTCCCTGGCAAGAGTTCAACTCTAGCATTTGGTATATTTCATAAAATATTCTGTGGAACATCTGCCATAACATGTTTGAAAAGTTATGCAGATATAGAATAGCCTACAGTGAGAATGACAAAGGGTGATGAAAACTGCTACAAGCAATCACCCATTGTGAAGACGATGCAACCTCTGCAAGCTCAATGCACATCTTTTACGGATTGCCCTTCTTAACAAAAAGCTCCTTAGTGCTGTCTCATCAATGAAATGGAAGACCGCGTGGATGACTAAGAACAGAACCGGGCTCATTATCTTGTGCTTGTTGATCATCGCACGGGCCCATCTTAATGATGGGGATAATAGTTGATTCCTACCATGAGTACCTGCCTGTTATACCGAATCTTGGAGAACCAAAATGACACTTCACTAACCAGCTCTATTCCATCATCCCCAATCGATATTGGAGGAGGATCACTGAAACCCGATATCCTGTTGTGTCCCGAGGATTGGATTTTGGCACGAATCTCCAGTTCAAAGTGTTTGTTGATACTGACTACAGGATGTTTGCCGGAGTAGTCGTGAGAGCAGCGGGCTCTGACGGTAAGCTAAATTGTGCCCTAAGGTACTCCACTCCTCGTGTAAAACATCGTTGTTGATTATGAATAGGCGAGCGGCTAGTTTCGTTTTGGTAAAAATAGAGTCAGTGCCCGTCCTCTTGTCCGAGCGACTGCAATTTAGTCAAAGAGAACCTCCCAGATGCACCTCGTCAGAAGACAGCTAACCTACTCTGGCATTTATTTCCTGTTTATCATCTGGATTAGCATGCTGATCATGCTAAAAGCTATATATGGTAGGGTAAGACGAGACGACAAATGAGATGCGTCTATCGGCGCAGTCACCGCTAGCTATGCACTGGGCACAATCGACCGTCGACCGGTCTCTGATCGAGAATCACGACAAATCCAGACAGATCAGAAGAAGATCCGGTATTCATAGGAAAAACGAGGACTGTCAGTTTTGAGAATAACATTTTTTGCTTATTTGCGTACGCAATTTTGACTTTTTTGTTTGTTTTACATGTTGGATGGGATGCCGGAAAGAGTATTAACCAGGGAGCTGGGACGCTTCGGACGAAGCTAAACCCAAGCAAAATCTCTCTACATCACGCCATAGCCTATCAACCGTGCTGTTTCTTCCTGTACCAAACAATGTCTGCAAATAGCGCAGGGTTTTTCAGACGTTGTTCAGGGATTCCCATGACGTGCCCCAGTCGCCTCAGATGATATAGCGAAATGGTTTCGTTCAGTGGAAAACTGCATGGCCCTAACACACGTCGTCTGACCTCGTTACTTACGCCATGCTCCCACCACACGGGGGCGGTTGCGCAGACAACGGTCATCAAAGACCGTTAGCTGTTGGACATGATCTGCTCCAAGAGGCCAAGGTTCGCAGCCGTAGAGTAACACGGCGCGTACCGCTGCGCAATACACATCCTTTCAGTGAAAAGGGATGTCACGCCAGAACCAGAGATGCCGTAGATTATCAACCACTTTGATTACGCGATCTCTTCATCCACACTTCTACCAGCTGTTGTGCAATTCCCGAAGTAGACGAATCTCCCGACTACTTCCAATGCGTTGTCGCCGAGTAAGGAAATACCATCGACATAATCCAAGTCTGCGACTGTCTCCAGGAAGAGGCTCGACGCCAGTGTTTGTTACGTTAAATAATGCTTTTTACAGAACATCATCTATGGTAAAGTTAAAGAGGAACGGAGAGACAGGGCGACTCTGCCACATCCCACTGGTGACAGACGAGGGTGAGTTCACCATACGCCCAAACAGCTTTAGGTCGCCAAGCTGTTTGCATCTCATCTTTTTGCGGTCACCAAATCGCATAGGCAACTTGACACAAACCAGTGCGTGGTCCGAGTCCACGCAATTAGACCAATACGTCCAGTTTCTTGCATTCAGGTGCGATCCCCCCTGGGGAACAAGGTAAGGTGTCCCTTTATTTTTAAGTCATGCATATCTACCGGATGCGGTATCACGTCTCAAAATTCTGCATTTCATAAAAGAGAAGAACGAACCATACTGTGTTGGAAGCCAAAGTAACTCACCGGAAACACAGCGAACTGGACGCACAATGGACCTCGACGAATTCAGTCGTATGCAGCCCGAATTGAAAAAGCGGAGTCTCACAAAGACGCATATTAAACTACTACTGTCTATTAAAGGTCAACGACAATGCCAAAGCTGGAGAATCCCTGGTTTATGTAAGCGAACGGTAGTAAGTTGGCTGGAAGCCCGATTGACAGACCTCAGGAAAACAGTCTCTGATACTTTCCCTCCATCTTCCACTAATGAGGCAATAACCCTGAAAACCAGGTGAGCTCCTTTTAAGCTCAGAACGACTATCACCAACCGTTACCTTAGTGCTTTTATGCCACTATGCGCGATCATCNCAAACAGCCACACCTTAAATGCTCCGCATAGGCGTGGACACCGTATCTTTGGGAGGACACCAAAGCCCTAGAAGACGTTCAGCGGCTAACAACTCGGATGGTTTGTGGTCATATAGGACAGAAGTAAAGGGATAGACGGTTTTCGTTTGAATACCGAAGTGCGCCAAGCAACCAAGAACATTGGACAGTCACCGCTGGGGGTTAACATCCTCCGAGAAGAAAGGTCAGGTCAGGTCCCAGGACATGCGGATTGAGCCAGGTACAGTTCAGTTTCTCGCAATTGTGAGCAGCGATCGTCTTTCCAGCGCTTTAATAACTTCACCCTTTGCACTTTTATCGATCTTTGCCTGCGAAAGAGCAAGGGCAGCAGCCCAAATACTGTCGGAAAGGTCAGTCACTTGAAGTAGTGTAGGTTCCCACTGCTCATCCGACGTCCCATATTCGCTCCCATAGTCGACCCTCTAGCAGGGTCTTAGGTTGAGTTTAAGGGGATGCTCCAGTGTGATATCAAAAATAGAGCACGTTAAAATATAGGGTTCAGGAATTAATAACGAAAAATAATGGATAATATGTAAACTGAGTAACTGTTCGTAGTAGTTGATACAGTGCTTTTAACCTCGTTGGCAGCAGCCCGGCATTGCCCTGCTTGCAGTTGGTGGGTCATTAGGATTTTTAGGTCCTCCATTGCTTTTCTGGACTAGCCTGGTGTTTTCAGGGTTAAAATGTCCGTCAAAGGACGTTCGAACATTCGTTGAGTGGCTACACCTGTCTTTATTGGGAGCTCCCACTCCGTCGCCCATTGGCAGGTCTTATTCAAGTCCTCTTGCAAGTTATTATTATCAGACCACTCTATTAGTATGAGGTCCTCTGTGAAAATGTAGGCTGAAAGAACCTGTGGCAGGTTAGCAATAACGCATTACTTCTTTACAAACAGTCCCTGCGAGGAAAAAATCATTTGAATACCCCAAAATTTAAAAATCGTAACTAGATTCAGACAAGGCATGGTAACTTGTTCACAAATCTATCTAGGCGATTAGGATCTATTTTATTTTATTAATGCGATGTACCGCCACCTGTCTATTCCGCCTTTCAGATATTAGTCCCTGTATGTTGTTGGAAGAAGCAAGTAAGTAAGTTCAAGCACGGAATTCATCATTGACAGGACAACAAGCATGCAAAGGCTTGTCCCTTGATTTGAATTTGAACTGTACTTGTAAAACCGACCCTTCCAAAATGAAAGTTTCCGTTACATAGGTTACGAACCGGTTATTTATCCCAACTAACTGGAAGACTGAATAAGCACGGCATGAAACAGTTACGGAGTGACCGCTGTGGGACTGAAAAATATCAATAATTGAGTATGAAATCGTACCAACAGCAACAAAACTCACTCACCCTTGCCATATCCGCGTTGCTACAAAATTCATTGGCTCGAGCGTGAGTTTCTCTTCTGCGGAGTGCATGATCTATAGTCCTACTTGCGTATTGGTGTAGCCGATTACTCTTGGTGAAAACTATTATCGCAATTTCACATTGGCATAAAACACTCAATTCATACGCCTTTTTGAAAAGGCCGTTTTTACGTTTTGCGAAAGTAACCTTAACACCACTAAGTGAAATCAAAATGGACATACTAGTCTAGTTTTCTCATCGCTTATAGGTTTGATCTGAATCTTTTTCCGACCCATCTGGCTGGTGTAGCGCAGGCGTCGAATACAGCGGGCAACGGTTAAGATCAGTCCAATGTCCAGTTTACAGGCGAAGAAAGCTTGCTGCCTGTTTCTTAATCTATACGGTAAAGTATGATGTTCGGAATTTTCTGTTTTGAATTCGTTTGTTCTTGTAATCTGAAAGTGTAAGCAAAAAGAAAAGAAAAGAAACAGGTTAGTAGGTTGCTTTTTGTCCGTGTAGAAGGTTAGTTACCTGTTGTCAGTTATCTGAACCGAATTGCGTGCCTTACGAGGTGTACTGCGTGGACAGTCCAGAGGTCCACCTGAGATTACTTCGAGGGTACTCGAAGTTGTTGTCCACTGCCGAGGTGACGTCCATGGCGATTTATCTAGTTTTTGCTTGAAGCACGCTGTCGTAGGCGCAGAGACCACTTCCTCGAGTA